TTGGGGAATAAAGATGAATGACGATGGGTCGATCTGGTTCTCATGTACCATAAGTTGCTTGCTCACTTGTTTTCTGATTAATCACAGATATACATCAATCAACCCCCAATACTAGTCAACCTGTAGGTAACAGGCCATCTATGACTGGAACCACCTCGTCCTCTTGCACCATATACTCTTGTCCAACGACTCGGCCCCATCAACTGGTTTCCATTTTGCGGCACCGTCCTTCGAAATCCTCCCTGAAAGGTCTTCCAATGTTCTTCATAAGAATGGGTGATCTCAACCGACTGGGCCATGTCAGCACTCAACGGACTCCACTCTCACGGGCCCCGTCTTCGACGATGCGACGGAAGTCTCGCAGTCTCGGGACTCCCAGCTGTCACTGATCCCCACGGGTCCCGGAAGACGGGGGGGCTTTTCTCCCCAAAGGCGCCCGAACCGGAGACACCCGGGCGGGGTCCGTGATTACCGTGGTTCCACCGGTGCATCCCGGGTGACCGGCCCGATGGAGGAGCATCGGGGGGGGGGGCGGTAGGCGGTAGGGAGGCGCCGGATCCGCCCACCCGCGGGGGGTTTCTCCGGCTTCGAGCGGATGGTCAAAGCGACCTGGTTCAAATGGCTTCGGGGGTCTGGCAAAGACATGCTTCCAGTATCCCAAAAGGGAGGAAAAGGGTGGACAAAACCATATCACACTTCAGGGGATCCTGAAATGCCAACTGTTTGTACTTTGTGTATAACCAGTTACACCAATTACCTGACGACTTTCCTGTAGATCTTCAGACGCAACTTCAACCATCTTCAACCCCATCCATATCAACCTGGTATGCCCAGACCGTCCTCAACTGGTGAGGTTCCACCCCTCAAACGGTCTTTTCACGTCCTCCAGGCGCAGTAAGTTGTCCTTCATTAACTGTTGACCTCAGAGGCTCGGCGGGAGGTTTCCTTCCGGACCTATCCAGAAAAGGCCTTTTCTTTTGATCAGTCCAGATTTCACTTGAATAGAGCAGCGGCTTTGTCTTTCCTGTGGTCTTTACCTAGCAGGTTTCATTGGTGGTTAGTTGGTCTTTCATTTCTCTGGATGTCTGCCTTCCTGTCACCTTTGATGTCTGTCCGTGAGCTTTGCTTAGCATCCCCTTCCAGCCCCCAAGATGTGCCATGTAGCACTTGGTCCAAAAGGGATGTGAAGTCAGGTCCTGCCCTGCCCTGAACTACCACAGGTCAACCATTGCTATAGCAAAACATGAGACAACATCCATCTCGCCTGTGGTCCCCTTAGCTGGAGCGGAGCTGCGAGGGTTTGCAGCCAGCGGAGCGGTTTCACTCAGGTACCAGCGGTTTCCATGTCAATGTGGGTGTGTATCCAATGGGGTGTTCTTATATATGTTCCATCCTCCAGGAGGTCTTTGAGAGGTCTCCCTATTTGGATAAACACCCATGGGACGGACTTCAATACTACTTGAAATCAAAGGCGTCACCTTGCCGGAAAGCCCAACACTCCAACACTCTGATCGATCTCCATGTTTACACCACCGCTTCGGGGCGTGAAGGTGTCGTTGCCCACCGTCGAGACCGGGTCTGTGCTTCGTGCCGCTTCGCTCCGTCCGATGTCCGGTCCACGGATGTGCGGACCGAATTCCAGCTTGGGTCGAATCTCCTCTGGGCCACCCCACGCTCCCTTTCCTCAGGTGTGCTCTGCCTTAGTCACTGGGAGGTTGTCAAAACGATCTCGCCCTGTCCAACAAGTATAGAGGTGTAACAGATCAGAAAGGTCTTGAGTAATAACTGAAGTGTCATGAAGTGTCATTATATACATGTGTCCACTGCTTTAGAAGGTGGAAACTAGAAGGAGTTGTTTTTTCGGTGAAATCACTCCCGGGGTGTCATAAGCGATTCTACGCTGAAGAATGCTCAACAAAATCAGCAACTGTTTGTTTGAGGCCGGGGTCATGTCCAATGCAGGAGATCATGTCTCAAATTCTTAGTTGAATTCGTTTCTTCAGGGTATTATTTAGGAGGAAGGAAGGCACATAAAGGCACCAACATGTGGGACAAACACAATCGAAAACATGTTCTTGAAGGCCTTTCGTCAAGAGCAACAAGAAAACAAGCGAAACCCGCCAGTCCCACTGTCAAATCGTTCTTGGCCTTTACGCATTGTTTTCTGGTGTCCTTTCCAAAGCATTCCAAACCGAATTCCCCGGCTGCAATCAAACGGACGACTGCAGGAGTTTATCATGACTTGAAATGGACCCCCTGCAGTGTCTCTGAGAAGAGACACGACCCCTGCAACTGGAAGTGGGGTTGTACTATTGTACTTTCCGCACAACGTACATGTTCTGAAACTGCAATTCCATGTAGTTTCACGAAACACAACCTCGCGCCCAAACAAGAGAGTCTCAAATTGGAAGTCACTAAGCTCCAGGAGCACGTTTCTACCTCGATCTATATAACCCCTTGATTCATGCTACTGTATACCTTCGAATGAGGAAAGCCAGGTCCTAAACACGTCAAGAACATGTTCCCTCACCCCTCCAAAGTTCAACCCACAGGATCCCTACAGGGTCGGTTTTACAGAGTCGAATACCCTTTGAGAGTCAGGTATTGCCAAAGCCGGTCGAAATCCTGCTTCTGCTGCTGAGTTGCCGCTGCCCCTGCTTCACTAGAAGCTCCGCTAGCTCCGTCCTCCTCTCCTGGCGTCGTGACCGGCGTGCGGAAAGACCCGAGAGGAAAGAGAAGACCACTGTGACTGGTCAAAGACCCACTGGTCAAAGACTGGAGGGTCTTTGGATTGCAAGGAGTGCTTTACAAGGACCCCTTTAGCCTTACATTGCATACTTCTGGAATAGATATGGAATGTGCAACAGCTCAACTATATACATATAATATATATATATAATATGTTGGGAAGAAATTTGCTCCGAATGTGGCCGGGATGATCTGAGATTCGGTGAACAAACGTGTTTGGGAGAAGAGACTAAACCAAGCCGTCTCTGGTTCACAAATGCCTGTCAACATCTGTCAACAGTAGTTCAACAGTGGTTGAAGTGCGTGGTCCCAGTGGGAACCAACATGTGGAATCCACCGCGTTGGATCAATTTTCATCAATGCCTTTCCAAGGCCTACGTATAATTACCGCTGTATTGGAACTTCGAATGCTGAGCGCCCACGTCCAAAACCCACCCTCCAAGCGTTGTTCTGCGCAAAAAACGCCCTGACGAGCCTGACGAAGCTCTTCCAAACCACGAGCTCTTGAAGTGTCGAGGAGAGGAACGACGACCAAATCATTGTCCAACATATTCCAACGTGGTTGTGAAATAGATATCCAACACCGCAAAGGCAATGGTCAGTAGACAGTTCCTTCAAACCACCCAAAGTCGACCATGTGGCCATGCTGTCTTTCCGGTTTGGAGCCAAGCTGCGCTCAACAGCAGGCCCCCACACCTCACACCTAACACACGTGCTGAACATGAGCTCCTCCTGTTCCGCCTCCAACTTCATCAGCTGATCCAACAAGGGTGACATTGGCGACACACCCCCAGCCGCATTGGCACAAAGCACCTAGCCGCTGGGTCGCATTCGGCAGAAGGGACATGAAGCGACTCCATTGGCTTCCAACGTTCTGAACGAGCGGTCACCGGTCAGAATCTCCCGTGGTAGGTCATTTGTTGTGCATGGAGGTGCATCATCAAACTGATGTTTGGCATGAAGCAAGTCAATGTCCAAAATGTTTATATAGGTACCTCATGGACCATACACTGTTTTGCGTGCAGGCACTCTTCCGACTCTTCCTACTCTTCAAACGCGCCGCATGTCACATGTACTGCATGTGCATCTTTGACTTGGCTACTCCAACTACTCCAGAAATGACTCAACGAACGTGATAGCCAAAGCATCCTACCCTTCAAACATGCAATTACAATTAAATTATGGCTGTCAAACCCCGGTATCGTTGGGAATTACCCAGCAACACTTAACTATGTCATTCTGAATGAATGAATGAATTCTTCATCCGTCAATTCCTTCCCACAGCAATGTCAGTCAACTTGGAAAGCCACCCTTATCAGATGAGTTCAACAAACCTCAACAGCCCAAGTCTAACACCTCTAGATGTCAGATGTCTAAAACCAAAAAATCACATGCAACTTGGGACCGACCATCGATCGAAACCTCCGAACACATCGAGAGTACGTCATGGCACGTACCAGCCACAGATGGAGTCTGTCATCAGTCGCAAGTGCTGACATCTCTATACTTAAATAATCCTAAATAGAACTTAAGTGACCTCTGCTGTGGATCGCCAACCACCCAAAAATGAAATCTATTAAACCAAAGGTCATGTCCGGGCTCTGAACTACCCAAGAACTGAAGAACCATCTGCCCCCGTTGTTTCGTGCGAAAACACCGCCCTGCAGGCCCCGCGCCTCGCGGTTGATCAACGCGTTGGGTCTTTCATTCACCTGGCAGGACAAACGACCGCGCGGTGGACACGACGGTTGCGGAAAGAAACATGAAAAAGAACAAACCAACATATTCTGACCAGCTTCTTCAGTTCGTGACCTTTTTGGAGTCCCCAGTCGTGACCTGTTACAGGCCTGGTGACCGAACCAACCAGGATATCAAAAGGTCTCTTTGAAGAACCAGGGATATGTGTTTTCCTATCCTTTTAGTCACCCGCCATGGGTGCCAAAATGTTTGTTCTGGCCAGGTGACTGGAAAAGTGATGTCCGAAAAGGAATCGCCTCTTAGTGCCAGTTTTAGGGTTGGTTTGGTGAACACCGCTGCGATGTCTCTTCCAAAATGCTAACCAATGCTCCCCGTGGCCACCCAGCTGGTGGCACAAACTGTCACTGACAAGTGGCCCTTGCAAAACACACTGTCACTGCCTACCCAGAAAATAATACTATATGATCAGCTTCCTTCCACTCAGCTATGGACCCTACACTGCGTCTTCCCCCAGGCTGCACACATTGCCGAAAGCGAGCTGTGGCTGGATTTTTTCAGCGGCCAATCAGAAGCAAAGGGACCGCTAGCGGCAGCGCCTAGGACGGTACACAAGCACAAATCAAACCATGACAAGCCAAGAGGAACCAGCAGCAACCAGTCAAAAAGCAGGTTTTCAAGGTTCTTTCCTGCCAGCTGGGAATAGAAACGTTAAGCTGAGTTAAAACCAATGAATCTAAGAAATCTATGCTACACATTACAATAAATGCCAAAAATCATCCAAACATATGGACCCAGTTGGGTTCATCGCCTCATGTCCATCCAAATTGATTCTTGAGGCTAAGGCATTTTTGACCAGTTCGGCACAATGAATTCCACGGATGATTTTGTTCTTTATATATGAAGCCGGTACAAGTATGAGGAAAGCGGCTCAATATCCAGCAATGGGTTTACTCTTTGAGCCCACAGCACTGAACCATCGATTTGGTTCATCCAACAAAAGCACGCGAAAAATCATGGTTCGCCACATGTTTGTGAACCCGCCTCCTCTCTGTAGCTGAGGCTAGTCGTGACTAGCTGAGGCTACCTGCAAGTTTGCGTCACACTCATCCTCCTCCTAGCTTCGGCCCCCACTGCCCGAGGCCGAGGCACCAACAGCAACATCGCAAGGACTGGCCAAGCCCCGTCCAAACCGTCAGCTTTGCGGCGGCCCTGCATAAGAGGTGCAGGGCTGCAGGGCACGTCCCATGAAAACGACAAGAGAGTTCGGCAAGAGAACGTCCAAGAACATGTCTGGACACCTTATAATATATATAATCCTAAATGCTCCATGTAACCAAATATGGCCATTTCAATTTCACCCACAAAAACCACCAAATTAGCGTAAGATTAGTGTAAGCCATATTTCCATACATGGAGTGTCCCAGTGGTCGCGTAGCAACACAGATCGCACACTGTGGCCGCCTCAAATCTACGAGGCAGCTAGTGTGATGGGAAGTCTTAGGATTCGCTTCTGTGGTGGGTGTTCCTTCTTCACCAGTGGATCCATTCCTTTCAATTCCGCCAAGAACACGCTACAAGTGAACGTCAAAAACACATCGTCCAGTTTAATAACCCTGCGAACGGAGCGGTTCACGAAAAAAGAGGACGTATCCTAGTCTTTCAGAACCAGCTTTCAACCCAGTCAGTGAAGCCGCCAAATGCTTCTCAACACTGCTGCAAAGAAATGGTTGGCACTGTACCGTTTCAGCACTGATACAATAAGATCACGCACCAGCGGGGACCGCATTCCACAGCACTTTGGCAGCATGCATCTGCAAGACAAAGACGATTGCAGCACTACAAACCCCATGAAGTGACTTTAGAGTAATTTTATAAATGAGGCAGACCTCAAGATGTCCTCTGAAACCACTGTACCTGATGAACATCAGATGTTCCCTTGGAACCACTTCAACAACCGGATTTGAGCCACTTGCAACATCTATTTGTAACAGTTTGAGGTTGTGGGGCTTGGATGTGTTTCATGGTCGCTCATTGAATCAAAACCTCAATTGTTGTTTGCGTGGATGCGCTAAAGTTATCGTGTTTGGGGGTTCACTATATTGTTTTCCAATAAACCCTGAACGCATTGATGTCAAACACCTGCCAAATGGGTGCGGCCACAGCTTTAATCTCTACCTCAGCTTTTTCTCGTCTGGTAGCTGGGCACCTACATGCATTGACCGATTGATCTTTTCTTTTCATGTGCAACGATTTATTATAGATGTTTATTGTATAGTTATCGTTTTGGCTATCGTTCAAAGCCTAAATACAGCTTGGGAAAGCATCGTGGGACTTATCGTGGGAATTCACATGTCCGGGAACAGTGCGAGAATATGCTCTATATGCAATGGTCGGCCCCACTCGGGGCACAGTGTTCGCATGGGGAAAGTGTCAATGTTCACATGCTACAGGGTCTGTTCCACAATTCCATGCACAACTATGCTGTCAGGAAGCGCCGGTGCATGCAGGTGCTGGTCCAAACGCAGTACTTGTTATCACATCACATCGTATGTGCTCATTCCAAGGCTGTCGTTTTTGGGAGTTCATATACAGTATCGGTTTACAGGTCGAAGTGAAGGTGCTGACCCAATCTGTGCTTGAAGACTACTCTGTGTCGCGGAGAGTTTAGCCTCTTGCTCAAGTGTCAATGCTATGTTGAACACGATACAATGATGTTATATACCGATTGCTGGGCCATGTATTCACTTGATGTTTCTTGGGACCACGTTTGTCGCAAGGAGGCCGTGATGTGTTTTTTCTTTGTTTTCAGAAGTGGATGGATGACATAATCATTGTCCTCCATGGAGCAACTTGTGCTCACAGTTTTTCTTTCAATTCATCTCACGTGCCTGAGCCAATCCGCAAACTGCCTAGTGCAGTTCTGTTTCCCCCACCAAGCAGCTATTACAATGGAACACATGCTTCACCATGCTACTTGTATACAACCATGCTTGCCCGCATTTGCCCGCACCATTGACGAAGCACCATTCTTGTTGCAATATCCAAGTCTATATGCCCGCAGGGCAGCTGCTCATGGCCATTTATAAGGCAAAGCAAGCATAATGTATAATCTTGATGCATAAAACCCCTCCAATCGGATTGTAAAACCCGTTCATATGTCATCATATGTCATAATATGGCGGGGTTCTTAAAAAAGAGTCTACATTACAGCCCCCCAAAAAACAACTCGTCTTGCCTGGACCACTTTGCAGCACATCAACCCGGCCTGGCCACCCATGGCCGCACCCGTGCGGCCACTCCGCAACGACGTCGAGGTGGTTGGCGCCACCTGGCAGTCAAGTTTGAAGGGGAGGTTTGAAGGGGAGGTCAGGTGATGCAATTGTACCCTATTGTACCCTAAGAATCCAAACCAACCAATGGAATCCGGCTTTGGTGTTCAGGAGCTCCGTTCTCCGAGACCCCTTTTGCCCGGACTCCGATTCTCGGATTTCTTAGGAGGGTCGAGTGGATTCTTGGGATTTCTGACAGGGCAGTACCCATGAAAACAACCGCTTCCCATCACCTGTCTGGGAGTGGTTGAGGGTTTGGGAATGATATTTTCATCTGCGATGGGTTTGGGAACCCGACTCTTCAAGTCCCAACGATGAACCAATTGAATTGCTGGTACGGGAAGATACGTCTGCAAACATGGTCCAACTTGAGGGGGTGAACGAGGTCGGTAGCAGGCTCAGGGGCCCAGACCACCCGAAGCGATCCTTTGATCAAAGCCTTGAATTGGGGGCACGGCACGTGTTCAAATGAGGGGTCAGAGTTGAATCTGTCTCAACTAACATGTATGATATAGGTGTCTCTTCCTTGGGGCTAGTGAGAAGCTGCTGGAATTCATCTTCTGTTTCAACCAAGAACCATCGCTTCTATCATGGAAGGACATGGTGGAATTGTTGTGGCAAGACAGTGGCCAGACAACAGTTGGATTCTTCACGGTGAGATTCCTTCATCGCAACCGGACATCCCCGTGAAGTCGAATGGTCCGTTGCGGCTCATGCTCATGCTGCGGAAGTTCCGATCTTGCTAACTGAGATGGCACTTGTTGCTTGCTGTGCCCAGAAGCGGAAGTGCCTTAGTCTTGGGAGGTCAATACGTAGGGCGTTCTCGAGTCTCAAGCACCCGGTCTGCCGCTGTATCTAAACCGGTCGTCAGGGGGGAGACCTGATCCAGGGGGGCATGCCCTACAGGACCAAAGGCAATTCACCAAGTCTTGGTAGCCCAGGCGACCTTTCGTGTTTGAGAGGGATCTTGAATTGCTTTGCTCAACAGATTTGCCCGTGCAAAGCTCCAGTGAGAACTCTAGACTCTAGATCCCAATTGGCCCCATTGTTTCTTTTTCTCGTGTCTTGGACAGCCCTTTTCTTATCTTTTCTACGACCACTCTTAAGCAACAAGACCCCCTGAGGTTGTTATGTACTCATTTCATCTTATTTCTGGATAAAACAATTGATCGACCTGTCGCCTTTCTCCACTCCAAAGCATCTTGACCCCATAGAAATCGGTCGAATCGCCATGAATCGCCCATCAAGGAGACTCCTCTTCCAGCTCCCAGTCAGTTTGGGATGTGGCTTGGGCCCCCGTTTCAGGGCTCAACAGCTGTTGAGCCCCGTCTCCCCCGTCGAAGCAGTGGAGGAACACTCACCCCATAATATATCCACGGATCTTGGAACATAATATATATCTATATAATATATAATCATACCCCCACGCAAATCCAAAGACGACCGCCATGGCACAAAAGCCATGCCTACTAGCATGCCGGCCATAGCATGCCTACTCATCTTGCATTTTCTATTAGCCTACTGCCTCCTCTGCCTGCCTACTGCCTTGCCGGTGCCGAGTCCCTCACCGCGTCGCCCCGGTCGCCTGGTCCCAGATCTGCCGCATCTCTCGACCCTCGGCCGTCGCCGTGGGCGACTCCGCGTCCTGCGTGCAGGACCGGTGGGACCCGGGAAGAACGAAGCAGGACGAAGCCGTGGAGGGGAGGTGGGACCGGTGGCGGTGGCTTGGGATATGGACCAGGGTGGGGATTGAGAGGGGTTCACCCATTGCATGGTGACATGAATGGACCCTTTTGGCGGGGGCGGGCGGCGTTTTTGTGGTTTTTGTTTCATGTGTTGGTGACACTTGCCCTTGTTGCTGTTGCTCTTCTGCTTATCTCTTTCTTCTTTTGCTTCTTTGGGATCATCGTGTTGCTGTTTGGATTTGTGATTTGCTGATGTAGTTGTACGATTCATACAATTGTTTTTGCATTATGATGCATCCATTGGTCAGCTTTGAAACGAGCAGTCAAAGTGTTAAAGTATACAAACCTTTAAGGCATGCACCAGTTGACCAACAATGAAAAACAAGGCCAGCAAAAGCAACAGAAATTCCGGGTATGTTCCTCAGTTCTGGCCAAGTCGCGGGTCCATTGGATTCAAAAACTTGAGGGCCCAATCTGCTCGTCTCCCCAAGAGAAAACTCTTGCTCTCCCATGCTCTCCCCAACCCGCAGTCAGCTGGACCCAGCATCGCGCCCCACCCATCCGCCTGGACCAGCAAGGCCCACTCGGCCTGGAACGTCGACACCGAGAAACTCCATGAGTGGTCGGTTTAAAAATCATTGAACATCCAATTGCCAATCACAGGGATTTCCTGTGCGTGTGGCCATGGTCAGGCAGTTAGGCCTTTCTCACCAAATCGTGATAACCTGCTTTAATTGGATATTGGGCTATACCAGCTACACCCTATATCATACTCTATAGATACACCATGATCGAAACCCGCTTGGTCAGCGTCCGCGCTTTTCGCGGTGGTCAGCGTCGTGACCACGGGTCCCCGATGACGGTAGAAGACGAGGATCTTGAAGCAAAGTAGCATCCAGCTTTTTGCTACAGTAATTAGATACACCGGGGAAGAGACCCACATGGAACCGGGCTTGGCATGGACCTGACTGGAAGATGATGTATTTTTATTTATGTTTCCTTTACAACCCGACGTGGTTTTCAGGTTCCATGTGAAATTTCCAGTGTGTAATGGCAAGGGTGAGTTTCTTTTCAGTGAATGAGTGCATGCTTTAACAAGAGCCTCAAACAAGTTCAATCGACTCCTCCTCAAGAGCGGGACCCGCGATTCAGCACCAGATGTCTCACAAAAACCGGTGGTGCCACCACAGGTGTCGATGCTTCCCTGAAAATTCCGTTCCCTTCTGCCCGGCCGAGCTTATCCACGTCCACGGCGCGGTCAACGGCGCCTGCTGCCTCCGCTCGGCGCTGCCCTGCTGTGCGATCCGCGTGAGGAGTGCCTTGCTCTCCTCGGGCGGAGGCGGGTGCGCGCGAAGCAAACGGGCACGACAGGCAAGTGTAGCAGGGGGACAAGGTGGGGCATGTGTTTTGTGGTAAGCTGATGTGTTTCTTGAAGCTTTTTGCATTGAAAAGCAGGAGGGTGGCATGGGAGGAATGTCTGCGATTCACCAAGCACAAATCCATGTAAAATCCCATTATCCCACTCGATATTGTGCCTGAAGTGCTTTAAGATGTTTGGTGGGAGAACAAAGTCCCGGCTCGTCTGTTCCGCTTGCGGCTGGAACTCCAGCAGCCATGTCGACATATGTCGACCATATACTATATTGTGGATCATGTTTGGTATCTTTGAGCACCTAACCCATCTATATATTATAATACAATGTTATTCATGTCGACTCTGAATTCCCTCCACCATCTGAATCAATTTATCATACAGTAGCTGGATGTGACACCACTTGGCAACAGATCTCCCAAACCCCCGCACCTTCACACGCCCGATCTTCTCCAAAGAGAGGGCCATATAGATTTCCAAGCCCTGCGCACGGAGCTCTTCGACCATCGGCGATGTTGATCTCTGGCCCCGAAAAAATTGAGCTCTGTGGGAAGAAGGCGAGCACTAGCATCTAGCTGCGAGATGGACAAAACGCACACGGCATTTTGCTGGTGTCCCAATCAAACATGTCAAATCCATTCAAAATCCCAAACCGAAAACACCAGGTATTTTGCTGGTGCAGGTGTCCTTCACGAACCAGGCAGGCCCAAACTGGGGCACCACCCCATCGTGTGACGCGGGTATGGGAAGACACGGGGCTCCCCACACTTGTGGGGACCCGGCTATCTTGGATCGGACTGCCGGAGATCCTCCAAGGCGGTCTCGAGCTGAACCGACGGAATGGAACCCGCTGCACTGGCGGGGCACAGGATGAACCGCAGCTGTGAGGCGGATTCAATGATGTACCGTGGTAGCATGGTACCAAACATGACAAGGATAGGGGCGGATCATACCTCGATCATACTCCACTCTGCACTACTGATTTATGGAGCATTGGACACCCATGGGATGATCCTGGTAGGGATCTACTGGTGTGTAACCATCAAGGATATTTCAGCGCTCGCATGTCTTCTACCCTCTGTCACTCTGTCGTCATCCATGCCTGCTTATACCACCGGTCTTCACCAACATACTATTCCTGCACATTTGCCACACCACCTATAAGTAAACCACCTGGCCTGCATTGCCACATGTGTTCTTGACTTGCCAGATTTGTTTGATATGGGGGTCCAAAACCAATGAATTATTCTATGCCATTGCCGGAGCTCTTTGGTGAGTCTCCCAATTCGAAGACCCCAATATCTCTCTTCCCCACATGTCTCTTCGCTGCTGGCCTTGGCCTTCGGGCCCTTTAGGCAGCCTTGGGTACTTGTATAGAACCTACTCCAATGGACTTCCCTAGCTTGGCGTATCCTAGAGCCCAGCCACAGCCCAACCCCTTCACCTCTTAAGTATGTCGCCATCTGGTGTCAAAAAGGCGGTCTTGGTGGGTCTGTCCTATCCCCAACTGGTGCCGATCTTCTCCTGCCTCGCGCCGCTCGCGGGGCAACGCGCCCCACACCGCCTGGATGGGTCCACTGGTTCGGGTTTGGGCCATGCAACTTGGCACTGATGAGACTCAGTTTCTCTGTGTCTCCCTCTCTCTCTCTCTCTCTGCCTCGTTCTTGGCGCCTGTCTGTGTTTCGGTTTGTGTGCCTGGTTCGATTCTTTGTCTGTAGGTCTGTGGCAAGAGCATGAACTACATCTGCAGGTTACCCTTCGGATTTGCTTGCACATCAGGTTGACCACCTTCCGGATGCATGTATGTAGTCTATTATGCTGGCTCGTGTGTTTCTTCTGTATTTCTGGCACAGGAATTGCTGATAGGGATGGCTATAAAATCATTTGAGGATCCACAGAATCCACACCGTTCTTTACTGGTTGGTGTTTTCAGCCCACTTGAAACATATTAGTCAAAGGGTCCAATCATCCCCTAAGTAAGGGATGGAAATAAACATATCCGAAACCATCACCCAGTTTATATTTGATGTTTTATGTCTAATTCCCATATTATTCCCATGGTACTTGAAAGTCTTCATGGACTTCACAACATCCTAGGTTTCGTATGATCACCTTCTCTATCCAAAAAACGTCACCGGTTGGGCACGTCCCACTGGAAGCTTCCACGGGACCCACGAGGCCTCGGCATCCAGAGCTCCTTGCAGCAGCTCCACCTGCCCCGTCCGGGCAGCGCCGGATGAGGCGAGTGCAGGTGGACCCAAGGCTACCAGGACTCTCCAAGGAGGGAGGCCCTTAGATGTTAAGGGGTGTCCATTAACCACCCCGACTGGGGGTCCTGGTAGACAATGTCTACTGTAGGATTGCAAGGGCACTGTTCTTCACATGCTGTCAGGTGGCGAACTTGGACCAATGGCGCCAAGGCACCAAGGAACAGGACGAAGTTCCATTGAGAGAAAGAGACCCGCCACCAAGCAGGCCCACTTCAATTCCAAGAATCAAACTCCTTTTGACCATAGATCTTTTGCCAGAAACTCCACCAACCCACTGCGCCCCACCGCTCACCTGCCGCAGGGGCTCCGTCGCCGCTTTACAGCCGCGCTCCGCCGCGGAGGCCAGGCCCGACAGCGCCCAGGAGGCCAGCGGCTGGGACAAGCGCGGCTGGGCGCACGCGGCGATCAACGCCTAAAGGGCCGCGGGAAACGGGCGGGGCGACGGCCGAGCCGGGGTGACCCAACGGTGTCAACAGCGTATGGTATGTTAGGAGCTCTATATGTGGGGGTTGCCAACTAAACTATGCTAAGCTGGTATGTTATGTTTTTGGAACAAAAGAAGACCATGGTGGCCGGTGGGATGTGATGTGCCTCAGCTATAGGCCCTACGAAATGGCCATGACATGAGCCATTGACCGCTTCGGCATTCTCCAGGCCTCCCAGGCGTTGCCCCAAAGGTTGGCATTCAAATAGGCATGGCCTGAGCGAGTTCCAGACTTCTGGAGGTTGGCTCTGGTGCCTGGTGCTTCCAGTGCTTCCAGACCGGATCCCTTCGTGTGGAACGTTCCATCGGGTCGGATGGCCAGTGGGCAGAGAGGCATCGTTTCTGAATCGGCGCTTGGAACGACCCTGAAAGGCCCCAGGTCCTGATGACGGAATGAAGATCACTTTGGTTCCGGAGTTTGCAGTGGGGAAGAATCCGAGTCAAGGTCAAGATGTTTCAAAGTTCAATAGAATGATTCATATCATGCCAGCTACAGCTACAGTAGAAACGGCCAGGAGCCACCGTCTTAGCAGAATGACCAGGGATCTCAATGGCGAGGACATGCGAGGACACTGGAGAAAACCAGAAAACTCACCATGTCCCAATATAGATCATCCAATAGGTCACCTGGCTAGACTACCCTATACCTCCAGACAGGACATATATATATATAGACATTGGTCTGCACATATAATTTATACATCTCATTTGGCCACCCTCAACGCAGGTGTTGCATCACTGGATCCTTTTAGGACTAGTCGCACTTGACCGAAGCCGGTCTTTGCCGACACCGTCCGTCACCAAACACACCGACCAAGACCGACTGGAAGACCTACTCGGTGGACGACCCTCGTTCGCTCGTTCTGCCGACCCTCTGCCGAGGCGCCCAAACGCACGGCCGCCTCGTCGAAGAGCTGCTCCGCCTCTGAAGGGGTGAGGCGCCGGTCCAGCACCTGCGGAGCGAGGTGACCCGAAAAGAATTTAAGTTTTGGGATATATTCTATATTAATCTATATTATGCTCTTTGGGGCGAGGTAGGTGTGAAGATGGTGAGCTGAAGTGAAACTGTAACTAAAATGTTGCCAAATGTCTCTTCGAGCAACAGTCAAGACTTCTCCGCTGGTACCCCAGCATCGACTACCGATCACCCCCCCAAAACAAAACGCCGCTCGTCCTGTGGCGCTGTTCGTCCTGTGGCGGAGCACCCCGGTCTCCTCCCTCCCGCCCTGACCCTCTCGGTGACGTCTCGCCCGGCCTCGCGCTCGACGCCGAAATCCCGGAGCTCCAGGAGCAGCTGTGCGGCTCCCAGATGTTCCTGTGCCTCGACCAGCGCGCGCGCGGCGGCCTGTGGTCGACGGGGACTTTGGTCGCGTGTGGAGGGAAGAAACAGGGACAATGATTGGAATGTGGACTGGTCTGAAAGAAACTGGAGGAAGTGGGAATATGGTGTCTTTGATGCTGGAACCTGCCCCTACCCAGGATGCACGTGGATGATGATCTTGAGTGAAAGCTAAATTAAAGCACAAACCATGTCAACAAATTGCTGAACTATTTCAGGGTGGGGAAGTCCCCCTGGCTTGATGCTGTGTGACAGTACGAGTAGGTATGATGTTGCACCATGTTGCGCCAAAATGAATCGACTACGTAATGAACAAGCGTCTTGTCGTTCAGAGGTGCAAGTATAGTCATTCTCCATTATGACGAGTGAGGCTGAAGCCAGCTTTTAACACCCAAGGTGCATGAATGCAGCGGCATGGCCCCAAAAGGCCTTCTCAAACACCCTGAAAAGAAGCTCTTAGACGGCTCTTCTGCAAAACACCATGTGATTATATGCAAGGCGAGACAATTGACCATCCAATCATCTTCTGGATGGTTCAGGTATCATTCGAACACACGGTCCTGCACTGGATCCAACACACGGGATCCACCCCGCGCCGCTTGGGCACTCCCCGCACCTGCCTGCAACACCCTGCCGGAAGCTCTTCGAGCACTAGAGGTGGCGCCCAGCGACGAAGCCAGTTTCCGTGCTGAAGAGAGGTCCTCGCTTTGACATGCGAAGGAAGGGAGGTGATGGGAGGACAGCGTTCTGGAACACTTGGTGATGCCAAGTGAGACAAAACACCTTAGCGTGCTCCTGCGTCAGGGGTCAAACGATTCAGAATCTTATAATCTTTGGTGGCCAGGCACCGCACCAGAACAAGAAAGACTGACTTATGACTTGATTGAAACACGTTCCTGGCCATGTCTTCTAGCCGATCTCCCCAGACCCCCCCCCGACCAGTCCATTGGAGCAGGCCAGCCTGCGCACGGATGGTTCACGGGCGGTGGGTCCGGTCTGGGCTGCATCCGGTTCTTCGTTTCAGAACACTCCCTGAGTGCCATCAATGGTGGCAGTGAGCATGGCATGTTGCCCCCAAGGCACGGAGTGGATGAGCAGGAATTCCGACCAAAACTGGTGGTGGTGAACTCCACTTCTATGATTATTCCAGGGAGTGTAGGTTTCGAATCCTAAACCAAAGGAAGGAACTATACTCCATGGTGTTGTATGATGTTTTATGAGCAAATGCAGGCCATGATTCAAATGAATGAGTGAATCAACATATGCATTGTATTTTTTGATCGATACGGTAAAATGCATAATTCGTAAGTGCGGCTTCAATTGGACCAGGACCAAAGGACAACTATAGCATGGCAAGGCCTCCTTCTTTTCGATGGCTGCCTAAATGGTTGCCGAGGCCTGCACATCCTCATGCAGAAGCTTGCGAAGTGCTCCAAATTTCAAAATCCTTCAAAATCATGGGAAGAGCATTCCAATAGTCATACTTCATGACAAAGAAGGCTGCCCCCAACATTGGCCAAGCTTTGCGCCACCCACCAACCTGGAACCACGTGTTGGCCTCTTCCCATAGATCCAATCTCTTGACCATCTCTGGCATCTCTAATGCGAAGGCAATTACCTCACCCACCAACAACGCAGGGAAGGATCGTCCATGCGAAAGCCTCCTGGTGGTCTGGTAGATGGCCACTCCCTTGGCAGAGATTTCAGACCTCCAAGCGAGCCTCAACGCTGCATAGGCTGCGGCAGTGGCGGCGAACCACTTTGCAGGATGGTCGTCTGCATCCAGTTCGCACTTCAATGTTTGACAGCCTATGTCTGACAGCTTGACACCTGCAGCAGCACACAAGGCTGCACAGTCTGAATCCTGCAGCAGAATTGCGGCGTCCAACAGTGTGAGATGTGAAAGGCCCAGGAAGCGAAAATCATACGTAAACGCACACACCCGCACCTCTTGCAAAGGAAGTCCTGCCGACTGTGCACGTTGCAGCTGCTCTTCCTGCAAAGTAAACGCATGACTTTCTGACTCAGTTTGCCAAAGGAAGAAATTGCCATGGTTGTTATCGTCCTGCACCGCCCGGATGCTCTCAGGCTCTGGGAGAAGGCTCACAAATTCAGCCCACCCAGGTGTAGACACAATGAGGGCCTCTCGAAGAGGGATTCCTTCACCAAAGAAAGTTCTCTTGCTCCGGAGCTCAGCTTCGGTTGTGTACGATTGCCAGCGACTTTGATGGAGCAACTCAGAATCCACGGCCCTGACAGTGAGGCCATCGAGTCTGACACCAGCCATCAGTGCCGTCTTCAGCAGAACTGGATCTTTGAGCTCCAAGTGGAAGCGTTGGGTTGGCAGGGAGACCAAGTGGCCCCTGTTCAAACAGCGTGGCTCTCCAGCATCACAAGCAAACATACCACTCAAGCTCCAGCACCGCAGGGGGCGAAGCTCGGTTCCCTCTGCACAGTGCTTCGCCAACTCTGGGTCGCCCTTGAGGATCGCGATGTCCAGGAGGTTGGCCATGGCCTTCTCAGAGATGGAAAAGGGAAGCCTTTCACCAGAACGGAGCGCCTCCAGAATGGTTCGGACCAAGGGCTGCTCCGCTGCCATCCAGGCAGCAAACTTGGCATCCTGCAAATGCGTGTTCCAGTCTTCCATCCAAATTCCCTGGTGATCTGGGAAGCCAAAGCAGCAGCCTTGACAGGCCTGCCATGGTGCATCACCCTCAGAGTCGCACATGTCTTCGTCAGAATCAGAATCCCCGGATTCAGTCTGCTCAGATTGTCCATAGAACTCTTCGCAATTGCTGCAGCCAATGGTGAACCTGTCCTCTGCATGACAACGTCTGTGGAGGTGATACTCTTCTAGTTTGCAACCTTTGACTCCTTTCTCAGCCAAAGCCCAGGCGGTATCATAGTGGCCAAACCACACACAAAGGTCGAACAAATACACATGTTCCCACTGAGACTGCACCCTTTGGCTCAAAAGTTCCACTTGGCCTTCCATTAATGCCACTGCCACGTGGAATTCCTTCACTCCCACAATTCTCTCCTCGTGGTAAGTGACGAACATCGTGGCATCCATCTCTGTGGATTCGGCGACACCGAGATCCAATAGTTCTCAACTCGGACACCAAGACTGAGAGCCAGTTTTCGGACACAACATACTCAGCTCATTTCAGCTCACCATTCAGCTCACATGCCAAGGTTCACCAGGAACGGAGAGAACCCAAAACTGGATTGAATATTGCAGGAAGTTGCCTGAGGTGGGAAGTTCTGAGGAATTCGACCGACCACCAAATCCTAATTAAACAAAATCCTTCACCAGGCTCGCACAAAATGATTGGCCTTACAGTTGAAGCAACACATCAAGCTTTCAACCTCCCGCGCCGTGGTCCTCGGAGGCTTTGCTTTGTCAAGTGTCTCACTGTTTCTTCATCGCGCGACAAAAGAGCCCGACCTCTTGCTTTGAATCGTGATAATTCTCAACGGATCCAAGAGAGGTTGAGAGACCAGAACTAGGACCCTGTAGTGGTACATATGGGATGGGCGACAAAGGGCTGTTCAACCTCTCTTGGATGTTATCACAACACCCCGCACCCTGCGATGATGACCCCTTGCCTTCCCAGGAGGTCTTCCATGAGGCCACCGGCTTGGACCGCAGGGCTCCTCCGCCAGCCTGAAACCCACCACCGGAAAGGATGGCATGTCGCCCTTGGAGGCTTTGGGTGGTTTGGGCAATTTGTTGTTTGGGTCCCACACCCATGGATTCTTCAGTGACCCAAAAGGTGTTGATTTCCGAAGGTTAAGGGATGTCCATGAAGGACCTGAGTGCGCTTGGAGGGTCCTGAGTCAACATCCAAATGGATCCAGATCGCCTCCCCCCGCCGCCAAGCACCTTCCACTCTGCAAGCCCTCAGCTTTTTCTCGCTGCCGTTGCTTGTGAACGTTCCGACCGGGTGCGGGTGATCCTCCTCGCCTCGACCGCGAGACGGTCGGAAGGGGAGACGCCCGGTCGGACCGGCTCCGGTGGAAGCGAAGGAGAACAGTAGGGTCGGAACAGATTGGTGGGCGGAGTGGTGGGCGGTGTCCCTATTCAAATACAAACCCGGGTATCAGAACTGATGGATTGTCACAACGTCCGCCAAAGTCGAAAACAACACAAACTCTTTACCTGCTATAGTGAATAACATGCCATCCCCGGAGCATCCCCTGTTCATGGACGACTCCTGGAATTGCTGGGTACAAGTAGTAGATTCTTAGATGTAGCCTTGTGTTTTCCCAAGGTGGATTTCCTAGACTGACTGAGGGAACTCGTTTTCTGTTTTGTTGCATTCCCTATTCCACTGAACTCAGACTAGCTTCTAGATCCAAGCACGCCCCAATGAAGAACTAACAGTAATTTTGCAACATGGGAAATAATAAAACACCCTGGTTCTTCAAAGTGACCTTTTGACATCCTGGTTTGAGGTCACTTAGGCCTGCAACAGGTCACGACTGGGGACTCGAAAGAGGTCACTTTGAAGAAGCTGGACATGCATGTGTTCTGGAAAAAGTGGAACCCCAAAAGTTCCGTATTCAAGAATGTGGAGGATCAGCCCAGGTGCGATGGGCAACCCTATCCTCAAAGTTCCGAACCACTTAACCACTCTTTCCCCTACACAATGCTTCCACTAATAATATATGTCCCAATTGTTTGTCAATCCCACTATTGCATTCCACCGTACCCCTTGTAGAACTGGCATGGAACCTGGCATGTACATGTCCAAGCATGTCCAAGCTGCTTGCTTCACACCCGTTCCACACCTCCAGCCCCACGCATCTGCCGCGCCCACCTAGGCGAAGATCTGCGCCGTGTCCCTCGCGCGCGACAGCGGCACGCGGCGGGGCGCTGCGGGGGCGAAACCAATGCGGCGCTGGGTCCAGTCGAGCGCCGTGTAGTACTGCCGAAGCATGGCCTGGACGACGCGGTGCTTGGGGCACGGGGTGGATTTCTTGAGCTGATTGTCCGGACAACTACCCACACTGGTAAAGTTAGTAGGTACCGCGGCGGTACGCACTGGCTTTTTTTTGACACTCCTGATCCTGATATCATTTTACAAACTCTGCCCTCTCTCTCTTCCGCCGCTTTGCTCTCTCTCTCTCGCCTCGCCAAAGGCGTAGACGCCGGCGAAGCCCTCCTTGGGATCCAGATCCAAGGAGCCCAGCTGCGGAGCGCAGCTGGGCCCTGCCGCGTAGTCCTGAGCGGTGAGGGAAACACATGAGAGTAGACCATCCCTGGGACGGGACTGGGGTGGTTGGAGGGGAGAGATTCCAGTCCCATGGATGGTCTGTGAGTGTTGCGGTATCCCTGGAACGTGCTCGGCGGAAACTGGACAAAAGCACAAACGCTGAAAACAAGGGGCAAGGACAAGGATCAAAGAAGGACGAATTCTGAGAAGAATGATAAAAACAAGCAACCAGCTCCTTCAAAGTGACCTTTTGAAGGTTCCTAAGTGACCCTTAGGAGGCTTAAGTGACCGAACCAACCAGGTTATCAAGTACGGTCACTTTGAAGAACCAGGAACATCTTCCCCACATCCTCCTCCCTAAAACAACAAGCAGACCGAATGGATGGACCGACTCCAAAAATGCTGCCAACGGCGAGGCCCGCCTCCACACGAAGCTTCAGGGTCATCTCACCTGGCCAGCTTCAGGGTCGTCTCACACGGAGCTTGCAGCCATCGGTGTGGAAGACTCGCCAGACTCTTCTGCCCGGGAAAACAGAGGCCATTTGCAGGACCGAAACGAACAGGGCTATGTAGAGACACCTCTTGGAAGGTCCTGGTATATAATATATATATAGTTATAGTTGACTCCGACTCCTGAAAATTCAAAACACCCAAACCATCCCAAACCCATGAAATCCATGATCAGCTTCTTGACATAATGCATTGACCGATATCCCATGATATCCCTATATAACTCATTGAATTATACAGAAACTCTCGGTGCATCCTTCGAATTGTCTCGTTGCCTTTCTCATGTCCCGTGTCTTTCGCGCGTCGGTCGCGCCCTCGTTTCTCGCACCGAGGTCGAAGAGGAGGTCCTCGCCCTGGCAACCGCCGCCCACGAGCGGAGTTGCAGTGGCTAAGGCGCTGCGAAGGACTTCGAAGCTGTCCTTCTGGACGCCCAACCTGCGATGGAGTCGAGGTGGAGCCAGAAGTGAAGCACTGCGGATAGAACGATCTCTTTCCAAGAATCACACCATATTTTCTGATACCAGAACCCGACTCGTTCGGGGTGTCTATGTAAATAGCACCCAAAAAGCATGTGATTCGGGGTGTCCATGAATCCATGAACCACCCAACTCCTGGGGGTCCTGGCAACGACTCCATGTTTCAACCCCCAAAAGTCCCCCACTCCTGGAGGCACCGGTGTCGATGACTCCACGGCAGCCGCTTTGGCAACTGTCCAGTGTTCGGTTGCCCAGGCGGATCTGCTTCACAGCCACTTCCCAAAAGCCATCCTGCCCAGTCACAAGTCAGGGTCTTCAGGCACGTGATGTGGTGGGATGTTGGGAGGCGTGATGCTGGTGAGATGTTGATGTGAACGGATTCAAACTTTTTACCCAACACGTTGTCGCAAGATGTCAAAAATCCGTTTACTAAAAAATAAGAAAAGCTTTACAACCCAGAAGTCACAAAGGAGTTGTGTTTAGTCTCATCCAGTCAGTCGCTGTTATCAAAAACTATCTAAATTATGTTAAATCTGTTTGACACCTTTTTGGGAACTCTTGTTAACATTGATTGCGGATGTTGCACTCCCAACAAAAATATATATATATGTGTATTAATTTGTATATATATATAGAGAGAAAAAAGAACACACTCATCCCTTTTGTTCTTTACTGTAAACATTGTAAATCACTTCATCTGATCCTTTCTTCGCGATCGGCCTCGGGATGCAGCACGGGAAACCACGTGAGCTCCTTGGACATCCGGGAGGCCTGGACGGGATAAGAAAAAGGGAAGTAGCACAGAAGAAACCTGCCATATGCGTTTGCTATAGTTGTTTTCTTTTGGTAGCTGGTGTTTGCCAACATCTTCAGCTTCGGTTTTTGGAAGTGCGGGCATGTTGTATTGTTCGGATGTCATGTTGACGTCGATTATATGTCAATGTGTGTAACAATCTGAAATGTTCACTTTAATCATGATTCTGATTCACTGGACCGAATATACACTGCGCATGTATGTTAATATAAACCACTTGATTCGAGGACGTGCCAGGCGTCTTGACCATTGTTTGATTCGATGTTGCTTAATATTGCATAATGGATGCCTCAAAAAATCTACCACCCTCCAGTACTTTTCCTTTCTTGCACAATCTGCTTCGGGGCGACCACCTTGCACAATCTGCTTCGGGGCGACCACAGCGACCGTGTTGTCTCCCCGCAACAAGTCTCCCCATCGTGGGAAGCGCCGTGTTGTCGCGCTGCCCCAGCGGCCTCCTGGTGTCCCACATAGAGCTCGCCACTCTGCGCGCCCAGGGACATCCCCAGTTGAGGCACCAGAGTTGGATTGCTGGCCACCAAGCGCGAGAAGAAGTCGGAACCGGCTTCTGCAGAGAGGCCTGACGGACGGACGCGAGATAAGAAGAACGGCTAGCCGTTCCTAAAAGATCCTTTCGTTCCGTGCTGCTGAAGTGCTCATGAGGTAGCCAAGTTCTGGATGGTTTGTCTCTTTCAATGCCATGCAAAATGGTTGTTTGCTTTAAGCTTTATGATGTTGTGTGGCTGAAAAATGCAACGCATGGTAAAACTAAACTCAAGGTGGCGCAAACACAAAGCAGACCTTGAAAAAACAAAACAACATGTAAATAAATTTTAAGACATCCATTGATCGAAAAAATGCTGGAAGATATCGTTATATATCGTGATGTGATGTAATTAGTTATGGTGAATGTGTGTGGAAGGCACTCAGTTTCTCGAAATCTCGGGCGTCGGTTTATGGAGGTCACTCTTCGAACTCACGGTCGGTGAAAGGGTCGGATGGAACACTAGAAGTTGTGGGCGTCAGGCGGGCATGCCATGTGGCGGCTAGGACATCATGGACAAAATCTGCTGCGAAATCTGGTCTTCTTTATGTGGCAATGGCTTCGCGCCATTGGTTTAGCGTGTGGATGGAATGGAGACCAAGCATGAGCATGGTTACTCATGCAGGCCAGGTGCCTTTCATGCCAATTCCAGGCCTGTGAGCCTGTGCCTCATCGCCCGCAAGTTTGGGGAAGGCTGTCCCCGTCATGGAAGCCAGGTGGATCTGGTTAACTGGTTGGTGTTTTCAGCCCACTTGAAAAATAATAGTCAAAGGGTCCAATCATCCCCAAGTAAGGGATGAAAATATAAATATCCGAAACCTAGTTAAGAATGTCTGCAAACAAATCACCCCATTGAAGTACATTGTAAAGAACAAAGGTCAATGGTCCAAAGACCACCTCTGAGCATGTGTCGTCGATCTGCTGCGGTTTGTTGCTTTAGCATGCTTTAGCCGTGTCAGGGGGGGGGTGGAGCTGGGGGTGGGCTTCTTCCAAGCGCACAAGCTCATTCGGAATTGAAATTGAATGCCAGGCCCAGGTTTCCTGACTCTCGGACTGCTAAGAGGCTGTTCCGGCATAGTCTGCTGTGGTGCCGGCTGATACATA